GAAAAACCCTCAGAGCCTCAACTGCCACCACCGGCTTTCCACAAGCCTGTCTCTCCCCCACAAGCTTCTCTCCACCTCCCCCAATCCTCCTGCTCTTGAGGCCGATTGGCTGGGTCACGTGGGTGGAGCCAAAAAAGTCCCCCAATGAGCAGCTCCGTGGTCTGAAAGGGCAGGGAAACAGTCCAATGAGCATCACCGCAGAGGAGCCAATCAGCTAGATGTTGCTGGGGCCGAGGAGCCAATCAGCTAGATGTTGCTGGGGCCGCTGTGAACCAATCATCAGCCAGCAGCTGGTGCTGGCAGCTGGAAGTTTGCTGGGGCCCCTTCGGCTGTGGCTCTCAACACTTGATATTGGTCTGTTCAGGTTTTCTATATCCTCTTGGTTCAATTTGGGAAAGTAACATGTGTATAGAAATTTCAAAATAGTTCCTAATGATTTCTGCAATGTCTGTAGTGATATCTCCTTTTTCATCTCTAGTTTTGTTAATTTTGAACTTCTCATTCTTTTGGTTAGTTTGACTAATGGTTTATCCATCTTGTTTATGTCTTCAAAGAATCAACTTCTTGTTCAACATGCCCCATGTTTTATGATGCTGGTAATATGCTATTGAATGCAGTTTAATAGGTATTTTTTAAAAATTATTTTTAGTTGTCAATGTATCTTTATTTTATTTATATATATGTGGTGCTGAGAATTGAACCCAGTGCCTCACACATGCTAAGCAAGTACTCTACCACTGAGTCACCACCCCAGCCCCTTGGCTAAGTATTTTGTTGAGTATTTTTGCATGAAGATATTTTTCTATTATTTCCTTTGCCTTATTCCTTTTTTTGCTATTGTCTCACAGTCAGGTTTTGTTAGTAAGATGATGTTGGCTTTATAGAATAAGTTTGGGAGGGTTCCTTCTATACTATTTTATGAAATAGTTTGAGGAACTTTAGTGATAGTTCTTTAAAGATTGGTAAAATTCAACACTGAAGCCATCTGGTCCTGGACTTTTTTTTGTATAGACTTTTTATTACTATTTTAATCTCATTACTTGTTACTGATCTGTTTCAATTATTCAGTCTGACGAACAAAACATCACCTCTAATGCATTTTTAGTGTAATTTACTCCAAGATAAATAATGGCTTTGTCTGTATTTAATCACTTTGTTAAATGTTAATTTCTGACAAATATACTTTTAATTTCTAGGTCATGCTTTTTAAGGACTAGTAAAATGACAATTATTTTTGTAATAAATCATTTACTTTTTCACTCTGATTCTCCCAGGAATTTGGGGCAGAATGATCTATAGGTACAGTTTGTGTGATATTTCAGCTGAAAAACATAAAAGCAGATATAGCAAACATACCCTAACCAAACTTTTTTAGTAAATACATCCCATATTCATAACTTTTTAAGTGTAGAAAATAAGACACACACTACAGAAAAAGTGAAGCCAAATTTTCAGGCAAAATAGTTTTTAACTTACAAATTGTTACAAGAGATGAAGACAGACATTGGATATTTATAAAAATCATAAAACCTGTAAGTAGAGAAACTAGAGCTTTCTTTAATCCCTAGCTTTTTCATTTCTATCCACTCTAGAAGGCAGCACATGGTATCGGTCCATTTTTTATCATCACACATCTTTATCTCGAAAAGTCAGTTCTAAATCCTTCAGCAGGCTAATTCATGTTCAGGTTTTATTTGATCAAGTTATGAACTCCTCCCTATTGGTGTCCAAAACAAAATTACAAACTGTGCATCATCTTATTTTATTCTCAGAAGCATAATCCTAGGCCAATCCATCTAATTAGAACTTGAGGAAGAAGCCATGTCACCCCAAAATCACTTCAAGGTGAGATTGAGATATACATGGCCATGGAGATAATTGAACAAGAGGAACAAGAAAAATGACAAAGCATGGGGGCCTGACCACAGAGGTCCTAAGAAAGTACACTGTGCTGATTTATGGGCTATTATCACAGATAAGACTTTTGAGTCCCCACATCAACAGAAAGTCACCTAATAGAATCACAAACTACAGAATAAATTCACCAACTATCTTAAAATTCCCTGATCACATTTATTTTATAATATAAAGTATTTGCTTTGTTAACTATATATTAAGGTGGATTCCAAACATTCACCTTAGATGTGATGTTTCTAAAAGGAAATTTCCATTAGTGCAAACATGGAGGTATGAACACGCACACCCCTGCACCCCCATACATTGTGAGAGCCTTGTGGTCTCCATCAAAACAATACCAACCTAACTACCCACCTGTGGCCTAAGGTTCTGCAAAAATTCACTCAACAACAGAAAGGGGCAGATCATTGAAAATCAAGTGCCTACTCCCTTAACAGTCTTTACTGTCAGACTCACAGAGAACAGTGAAGGAAAAAGAGAAGCACTGAACCTTTTATGATTGTTTCTGGTCATGCAGAAATTTATGATGCTACATTAAGTAGGATCTGAAGTGATGACTCCATGCCGTTTTGTCATGAGTGAATATTATTGTGCTTCTGTATTTTCTTAGCCTCGCTTCATTGTATGTTCCTTTATTACATTATGTGAGCTAAAGCTCAGATATAGATATTCTAAGAAAATAGAATTAAGAAAGACCTTTATTCCCATCTTTGTACTGTATTTCCATTAGTACTTACATTTACTAATTTACTTACATTTTGAAGAGTTTCTTGAGAAAAAGAATTAAACCCTGCCAACCTGAAATGTTTGTTCAAATACCCAAATTCTTTTTCTCAGTCATATTTATAACCTGCAGGAAAAACTTGTGTTTGTGAATAAAAATATGCTATTTTGAATTAAAAAAAAAAAAAAAAACAGCTAAGACCATACTGGGTTGTGAAAGCCTGAAAGCATTCCTCATGTATCAGAAACAAGAAAAGGACATCCAACTTTCTTCATATCCATTCAACATTTTACTATAAAATTTATCTGGATCAATGAGGCAATATAAAGCAAATCAGAAAGGCATCTTTTTGAAAGGAAAAAGGGAATTATCTTTACCTGCAAATGACACAATCGTATATATAGTAAATCCTAAAGAATACACTCATGTGAACACACAAATTGATAGAAATGACAAATGAGTCCAGCAAAGTTTCAGGATACAATATCAACAGTAAAAAATTTTGTTGCATGCTGGGCATGTTAGCACATGCCCATAATTCTAGCTACTCAGGAAGCTAAAGCAGAAGGACACCCCCCCCCCCCCAAGTTCATTCCAACTACTCAAGAGGCTTTCTTCAACCTGACAGCATCATCTCAAGAGATCTCTTTCATAAAGTTTTCTGTTTTAGGTTCTGCTTGTAGGAAGCCTGACCAAAAATTTGAATTGTCTCTATAGCAATATTCCAGGTAAAAATCACATAATTTGTTTTATGTTTTAACAAATAACAAATCAAGAGCCAACAGCCATTTCTTGGGGGAAAAAACTGAACTGAAATTGAATCTGGATCCAAACTGTTCCTAGAAATAACTCCATTTCATAGGAAACAAAGAGTAAAGAGGTCTGTTAATAATGACACCACCAAGGTCAAGATTGTGGGAAAATATAGGACAAACAACTTCATTTCAACAACAATTAAATTGAAGGAGAAATTAACAAGTGAGAAACTATACATTAAAAGAAATTTAGGGGGCTGGGATTGTGGCTCAGAGGTAGAGTGCTCAATTAGCATGTGTAAGGCACTGGGTTCAATCCTCAGCACCACATAAAAATAGATAAATAAAAGAAAGGTATTATGTCCAACTACAACTAAAAAAAAAAGCAAGACCAACTATTTTTAAAAAGGAATTTAGGAGGTACAGCAACAAAATAAAATGTGTGGGTGTTATTTGCAACCTGATTCAAACAAAAGAAATGTTTAACTATGATATAATTGGGAATTTAAACTTGGATTAGACTTACAATGGTATTAAGGAATTGTGAATTGTTAGGTGTGATAACTACTGTGGTTGTGTGTGTGTGTGTGTGTGTGTGTGTGTGTATAGAGAAAGTCCTTATCTTGCAAATATGCAAGTGATATATGTCTAAAGTGATATTATGTCTAGAATTTCCTTCAAAATTAAACTCTAAGTGTAGAAGTGGGTAAACATAAGTATTAAATAAAATTGGGCAGAGTTAACTGTGGAAGCTGAGCTAGAGGATGAGTACATGGGTTTGCATTATTCTACTTTAGCATATAGTTGAAATTTCCCATAAGAAAATTAAAATAATGTTAACATAAACTATAAGGAGAATTCAATTCTCAATCAAAAAAAGAACAAAATCAAAACCTATTAAGAACTAGATGGGACTAGGGATGTACCTCAGTAGTAGACTGCTTGCCTACCATGTGCAAGGTCCTGGTTGGAGGAGGAAAAGGAGGAGGAAGGAAAAACTTTTTCCAGTTTCCTTAGGCATTCTGGTACAGAGAAAAAAGTAGGAACTACCATCAGGGAGGAACACAACTTGAAAATTGGGCAGGTGGCATAGATCACTCCTTATTAAAAATTTTGACATCTTGGGGTTCGGTTGGTAGAGTGTTCAATCCCCAGCACCACAAATAAATAAATAAATAAAATTTTGACATCTTGTTCATCATAGACATTCTTGCATGAACTTCTTTTTTGAAAAATTATTGCACCAAAGTGTTATTTTTTTGACAATTGAGGTTTTTTTGCATGCCGTTAAATTCTACAAACAAGAACTGGTGCCAGAAGGTTGGGGAGCAAGGAAAATCCTAAGAGGGCACAGCAGTTCCCCAGTTCTAGAAGCAGTAATGGCCAACATTCTGGTGAAAAGACACTGCTCTTCTCCGATAGGCAGAGAACGGCCTAGGGATGCACAAAAGCCATAGCAACAGGGCCCAGGATGCTGATGTTCAAAGGCCCCTGAGAGAAGCTGGGGCCTTGCCGCCAAGCCACGCCCACTCTGGGCAGCCGGCTGGGGCCTGGGACGCGGGCGGAGCTGTTGGCAGTGACAGAGCCTCACGTGATCTGTCGCGCGCGCCAGACTCTAGCTTCGCTCGCTGGCTCCCTTTAGGCGGTAGCTACGCAGGTGGCCCTTTTGGCGAGCGGGCCAGGGGTGGCCCAGAAAAGTAGGAGGCGCCGGAGGAGCGGGTGAGGACCCGGAGGGGGCCCCTGGGGTTGGAGTGGGAGAGCGGACCCCTTCCTGGGGGTCCAATGAGACACACAGCTCCCAGCCCAGTAGAGGCCCCGCAGAGGCGGGGAGGATAGGGGGACGGTCCCGACCCCCTGGAAACACCTGTCTGCGCCAGAACCCAGCATTTTCCACACCCCTGCCCCGCCCCCGTCGTCTGGTGCAGAAAATGGTGGTCAGCTTGGGGGCGGGGCTGGACCGAGCGCGGCGAGGAAGGGGCCGGGGCCGGGGCCGAGCACTAGGCTATAGCGGCCCCCTGGGCCCCCACCTCGGTCTGCAGGTCTGCAGACTAAGAGTCGCGGCGGCGCGGCCGGCGGCGAGAATCCGGAGGAGCAGGAGGAGACGGCAAGGATAGGCCCAGGTGGGTGCGAGGGGCAGTGCTGGGAGGCGGGGAGGGGGGCAGAGGGAGGTGTGCAAAGCCCAGTCTGAGACCCCCAACTCCCCTCTGCATCCCCCCCCCCCCCGCCCCGTCTCTCCCTTCATCTCTGTCCTCCATTTTGGTGCCTGCGGAGGCCAGGAGATGCATCTGCAGGGAAAATGGTGGGCTTTGAGGGAGGGAGGGGTTGGACCCGGCCCCCTAGAGGGCGCACGGGGCCTCTCAGGTGGGAAAATGCAATTCACAAAAGGCCTTTCAAATCTAGGCCTCTGCGTTTTGAAAAGTGCGTAGTAGGGCCTCTGTCCTCGGTGCTGATCTGTCCATTAAGGATTCAGTCCCTTCTGTCTCTTGTCTTCTAGGAGTAATGGAGTCCAAAGAGAAACAAGTGTTAAAAAATCTCAGCGAGGAAAACAACCATCAGGAAAATGAAGGAGGGGAGCAGGCTCCAATGCAAAATGAAGAAGAATCCCACCATTTGGGAGGGGGTGAAAGCCAGAAGCCTGGAGGAAATGTAAGGCGGGGGAGAGTTAGGAGGCTTGTCCCTAATTTTCGATGGGCCATACCTAATAGGCATATTGATCACAGTGAAGTGGGAGATGACGTAGAAAGGTTTGTAGGACAGATGATGGAAATCAAGAGAAAGACTAAGGAACAACAAATGAGGCATTATATGCGCTTCCAAACCCCTGAACCTGACAATCATTATGACTTTTGCCTCATACCTTGAATCCTAAGGCTTTATAAACCTTATAAAATGAGGTTCATAATGTGGCCACAGCTTTAAAATCTTGATCTTTGTGATTTACTTTTCCTGTAAAACTTTTGGTGTTTCCACTTTTCAGTTTCTGATTGAATGTTGTTTTGTCTCTGTCTAAAAGTTTCTGTCAGCATGGCAATTTCACCAATTTTTGAAAAAATATTCTTTTCATAATATGAAATTAATAAAGCAGCTTAAAAGCAGCCTATATTCTATCATCTTCCTCTTCTACCCCAGTCATTATTTTTGTTAATGGTACTTTTTCTCTTTCAGCTACTTAGACTCAAAATCTTAATTTTCTTAGACAGTTATTTTCCTTGTCTTCAACCAATCATGGAAAATCATGCCTATAATTAAGCATCTGATAACATTTTTAGAATTATGTCCTAGTGTTTTCCAATGAGTGTGAGTCTACTATCTTTATAGAAACACTTTGGTGGAAAAAACTTTTGTGATTGTAAAACCTCTGGCCCCTGCCCTCCATACCCACATAGTGGGGTTACAAAATCTCCATTTTAACAAGATTCCTAGGTAATTCTGTTTACTCCAAAGTCTGACTGCTACTGTGTAAGTGTATATGTATCTACATACATTGATATGTGTATATCATATGTCTGTTAAGCATGAACAATAAAAAGAGGATGACTATGTGAGTTTGATTGGCAAAACAATGAAAAGTACAAGACCTTAAAATAGACTGATTATAGGATTGTTAGGGGCATTGGCAAACTGGAAGGTGTTTGCTGTGCAAGACAAAGCATGGCTGAAGGTCACATTCAGCTTGAGAGACCCAAAGATCATCATTCCTCTCAGCACTTTAATTTCTAGGATCTCTTTCTAATACTCAATCACATCCTGTAGAATACACTGTGACCACTTCTTTATAGGTGAGGTTACCAAAGTTCAGAAATAAGTACTAGGGTTCCTCCCTGCTTTGTATCTTGGGGATGTGTCTGGCCTGGGATGTGTTCTGTGTAGGACGTGTTCTTTTCATCTTGAGATACAGAATATTTAACTGACAACATGTTGAGGAAGGTCAAAAAAATCACCAAGAATGAGGCTACTTTACACTGTTTATGTCTCCAACACAAATATTAAGTTTTAGAATATCTGGGCCAAAAATGATAAACACACTCTAGTATAGTGTTTGAACTAAGGATTGTCTCCCATAATGGCTCTTGAAATCAGTTTGTGGGACATAAGCAAAGAGATCAGGGGCTGGTTCTGTAACTCAGTGGTAGAGCCCATACTTAGCAAGCAGAAGACCCTGGGTTCAGTCCTCAGTACACACAAAGTCAGTCCATCTCCCATTGGTAATGTTAAGAATTATTTTTACAAATTTGTTTTAGTTTTACATGTGAGAATTGTCACATTTAAAATGTTTTTTTTAACTAGATCACAGAAAAATCAGCCCAAACTTGACTTTACAAATGAGAAAATTGGGTTAGGAAAGTGATTTGTCTAAAGTCACACAGCCAGTTAGTAGAAGAGCACCGCTGATATCCCAATGCCCAGTTCAGGATGCTTGTTTTCTCACCCATGGCCTCAATAAAGCATTTGGAAATTTTAGCAGCATGTACTGATTGTCAGCCAGCATGAAAAAATGAATATATGCAACTAGTACAAAATCAATGTCTTCTTAATGCTCACTATTTATTTAGTCATCAGAATCCCTATGTGTTCACATTTAAGGAGAACTCCATGCCTTTCATACTATTTTGAAACTGGAATGGTCTCTTACCTGTGTAGAGGAAGCGGATGATGGTCTCATCAGAAAATGGACAGCATTATACTCAGGCACTTCATAATGTGTTGACTGAAGTTGAAGGAAAATTGATGCCCCCTCACCAGAGCTTCTTAGGGAAGGTAAATAACCAGTGCAAACATTCTGGGAGAAATAAGGGTAAATGGGCTCAGAATATTTTTTTAATACTGAAATAAGCCCCATTCCCTTAGTGTTTCTGGGAGAATAGAATTAGAAGGACAGAAATTTCCAGAAGTGAAGTGAAGGTCAGGGAATAGAGTCAAAATATAATTTATTAAAGCCAAATTAAAACTCCTCTACTGGCATTTTTTTTAATAATGTCAGATGAGTACAGAACTTTCTAGAAGAAGTAATGTCCAGGGATCATTATCAGAACATGTTTGAAGAAAGCTCTGTTTTCTGGGGTTTTCTGCAAGGGTGGAGGATTGAGGAAATAATTTTCTGGAAGAAATGAAAGAAGGCTAGTATAGAAGGTGATTGTTTAAAAGAAAACTGAGCTAAAGTGTTTCCATTAATTCATAATTCCTGTGGAAGAGACAACTTTGCCTGATCTTGGTAAGTAATACATTCTGTCTTTTTAAAGTGATAACAAAGGGGTCAGTGAGTGCCTCTAGAGGCCAACAAAAAAGAAAATACTTTATAAAAATCAATAAAAGTGAATGAACCAAGAACAACAAAAGGGGTTACCACATTCATTCTAGCAATCCTTTACACATTAGTGTTTGTAGATTTTTAGTTTCTTGAAGAAAATGTGCATTTTTAAAATTTTGAAGCAAGGCTTGGGATACAATCCTGATAATATAGAGGGAAAGAGTGAGGAGATGTCTAAAAAGTAGAGAGTCACCAACACAAAGCAGCATGTATTGCTGCCTTCAAATTACAGAAAATGGATATCACTGAGGGAGTCTAAAAACCAGCACATGAACTGAATGTTTGTTTCTTACCTAAAACTAATACGTTGAAATCCTAACCCTCAAGGTGATAACATAGGAAGTATTATAGCATTTTTATATGAATTGAATCATAGAGTATAAACTGCTTTGCTTTTCTGGCTTTATTCATTACACATGATGATTTTGCATGTGATAATAACATTCTTTTCTCTTACCAAATGGTATTTCATGATATAGTGAATATGTATCTATTCAGTTGTTAAACATTTAGGTACTTACCAATTCTTGGCTATCACAAATATAGCTAAAACAAACGTGCACATAATTGTTTTGTGTGGATGTATGTTTCATTTTTCTTGGGTAAACACTTAGGAATGAAATTACTATATTATGTAGAAGTTATATATTTAATTTTTAAGAAAATTCCAAACTGTTTCCCCAGGCAACTTTACTATTGTACAGCCCAATAAGTACAGGAGGAAAATTTCAGTTTCTCCACATCCTCACCATCACTCAATGTGGTCAGGTTATTTTTGTCATTTTATTTTAAATTTTATTCCAAAGGGTGTATAGTGGCATCCTCTGGTTTTAGTCTCCATTTCTCTGACGACTAATAATGTTCAGCATCTTTTCATGTACTCATTAGCCATTTACATATCTTTTTAAATGAAATACCTGTTCAAATAGTTTTCTCATTTTTTTTATTGTTGTGAAGATTGAACTTGGGAACTTGTACCTGCTTAGCCAAATGCTCTATGACCAAGCTATACTCACATTTTTCTCACTTTTAACTGGATAATTTATCCTATTATTACTGAGTTTTGCAAGAGTTCTTTATGAATTTCATATTAAAGTTTTTATCTGATATATATGTTAATATTTCTCAGTCCTAGCTTGCCTTTTTATTTACCTAAGTTTCTTTTTTAAATTTTTTAGTTGCAGATGGACACAATACCTTATTTATTTATTTATTTATTTATTTATTTATTTATTTTATTTGGCGCTGAGGATCAATCCCAGTGCTTCACATGTGCTAGGCAAGTGCTGTACCACTGAGCCACAATCCCAGCCCTACCTAATAGTTTCTTTTAAAAAACAAAAAGTTCTACATTTTTATGAAGTCTATTTTGTCTACTTTTTCTTTTATAATTGTATTCTATTTAAGAAATGTGCTGCCTGATCCAAAATTATGAAGACTTTCTCCTCTTTTCTTCTAGTAGTTACATACTTAAAGCTTTACATTTTGGTCTATAAATTATTTCAATTTGTGGGGGACTGGGGATTGAACTTAGGGGTACTCAACACTGAGCCACATCCCCAGCTCTATTTTGTATTTTATTTAGAGATAGGATCTGACTGAGTTGCTTAGCACCTCACCGTTCCTGAGGCTGGCTTTGAACTTGTGATTTTCCTGTCTCAGCCTCCTGATCTGCTGGGATTACAGGCATGTGCCACCATGCCTGTCTCAAATTTGTTTTTGTGTATGCTGTGAGATAAACTCTGATGTTCCATACTATCATTCAGGGATCAAGGTGGCAATGAGCAACATTCAAGATTGCATTTGGTGTTTATATCCAACAGGAAGAGAGAATTTTCATATACATGAGGCCTGAAATTGGTAAGTGTCATTTCTACTCTGAGTCCAGTGGTCAGACATCAATCACCTAACTGTAATGCAGTCTGGGAAAAGCAGACCATAAATGTGAAACTGAAAAATTAAATGGAATTTGATTAACACACACACTATTTGCCAGAGTATCACAGCATCATTTAACTACTGACAGAAATTCTTCCAACTCAGCTATTCTGTCTACTATGAAATTCCTTTTTTTATTTTATCCTACTTGAAATGTTGACATTGCTAGTGAAATCAAGGTGTCACATCAAGTGTAACAGTCATTCTCAGCCTAAAGAGAAAAGCCACTAAAATATTTTTAAATAATGCTTTCCTGCTTTGCTCAATTTCTTATTGAAAGTAGCATCTTCTGGCCCTATCATCAGACATAGATAGGAACAGATGAGTACACAATGTACAACAAGTACACTCCAACATTCTCTTTTCCATGCCTCTTTAGATTCTGCCTCTGTATCACATTAAGTAATCTCATAGAAACTTTGCTTAGTGTGATCCATAAGGACACCATATTCAGTCAATCAGCTAAAGCAAAACATTAGAATCCAGCTGCATGATATAATGCAGTGAATTTAGAATCTCTCTTGTATGCACAAATATTCATAAATTATCTCTTTATTAATTTAACAATTTATTATTAACCATTTTCCATGTTTCTGACGATGTCTTAGGTATTGGGAATAACTGCACAGAACAAAATAAAACAAACTTGTCTTCAAGGAACTTGAATTCTTACTGGAAAGACAAGTGAAGGTCAAGCAAAAATATCTAAAGAATTTGAGGGAGTAAACAAAGGAAATATCCGAGGGTAGAGTTTTCCAGGCAGAGGGGATAACAAATGCAATGGTTCAGAGTTGAAATAATACCTGACAAATGTAACTAAAATCATGCTCTTTCCCACTTAATCTAATAACCTCAGAAACTAGTCTCACACATATTCTTGAGATTATTTCCAGGGCAGCAAATACGTTGAAGTAGCAGGATTTGTAGGATGCAATATATAAGAATATTTTTTATTCCTGCTTCCTATCCACACTTGAATTTTGGAACTAGTTCTCCTTTCACTTGGGTGAAATCTAGGATATGTCCCATGACATTTTTGCTTGTAAAAAAATTGCTTGTAAAGTAATCCTCCTGTCAACCCTAGTCATGAAACAGTTTCCACTCAAAGGGCAGAGAGAAAATGGGAAGAAATTAAAATCTTATATAACGGGATACTACTGTTATGTTCATCTAGTATTGACATTTTTCAGGCTGGGGTAGTATTTAAAGTTGACCTTGTATGTGACATCTTTAAAGATTCTTAGGAAGTCCTCATTGTTGAGGATCTCTCACATGCTCTTCTCTTGAAATGTATTAATA